TCGATGTGAGACAGAAACATGGATCAGTTGCCTCTCTTACCTGCCCCGACCAGGGACTGAACCCTCAACTTAGGTATGTGTCCTGACCGGGAATGGAACCCATAACATTTGCATCTAAGGGACAATGCTCCAACCAACTGAGCCACCAATACAGGGCTCAAATGTCAGTTTATGATGTCACCTAAACATGTCGCCATGGGAACTGCCCGTGAGCATGTTTATGTATGAACTAGAGGCCTCGTGCATGAAATTCATGCACTGGGGGGGGGGGGGTGTCCCTCAGCCCAGCCTGTGCCCTCTCACAATCGGGACCCCTTGGGGGCTGTCGAACTGCCGGTTTAGGCCCCCGAGGGGTCCTGGATTGCGAGAGGGATGTAGCAGTGCGCTAAGCGGCAGGCAGCCTGGGAGGAGCTAAAACTGGGACGGGGCGCCGCTCGCAATCATCCTGGCCTGCTGCGCCTGCTGCCGCAGCTTGGTAGTGCTGCTGCAGAGTCAGGAGAGGCTCCCACTGCCGCAGCTACGCTGGCCAGCCGTGAGCCCGGCTTCTGGCTGAGCGCACTGGCCACCATGGGGAAGCTCCTGCATTGAACGTCTGCCCCTGGTGGTCAGTGCACATCATAGTGACTGGTCGACTGGTTGTTCTGGTTGTTCCATCATAACAGTCGCTTAGGCTTTTATATATATAGATGAGAACCAATGTAACATCTGGTACAAATATTCCTCTACTTATTACTGACTTAAGATTTTTTGACTATGAGGATGCAAAAGTGATACCCACAGTAAGTTATAACATGTTCAACACTTTATTATCAAACAGGTTTGTGTCAAATGATTTTGCCCAAGTGTAGGGCAATGTAAGTGTTCTGAGCACATTTCGGTAGGCCAGGCTAAGTGGTAATGCTCAGTAGGTTAGGTATTTTAAATGCATTTTGACTAACGATATTTTCAACCTATGATGGGTTTATCAAGACATGGCCCTATTGTAAGTTGAGCAGCATCTGTACTTACGTTTTAAGAATCTGTAAATTAGCTATGAACAACGAACTGTATTGGACTATCATAAACATAAGGAAATTACAATCATGCTTTATTACTTTTGGGGGTCAACAGAGCACAACAATATCATTAATAAATATGGATACACTCAGGTCTGTAGTACTGGAGGCTCTCTGTTAGCTAGAGTTGTAACATACAATTTTCCACTAGCACATTCCATACAAAGACAAGAGGTGGAGGAATGTAGGGGAGAGATGGGGTCTTTAAAATAAGAGCCTTTAAAATCCTTTTTAAAAAATGAAAACAAAGCGGCTGCTAAGTCACTCGCACAGCTAGTACTCTAGTTGTGTAATCCAGGCCAATGGCTGTTTGGACAATGTACTGGTTGACTATTGATAAATAATGCTGCATAACAAACATCAACCTTAGCAGCATAGGATAATGAGCATTCCTTAGCCCACACGTTTGTGGGTTGGTTGGGAGACTGCTGGCCTAGGTTTGGGGGAGCTTTGCTGGAGCAGCTCTGCTCCAAATATCCCTCGGTCTCCTCTGGGGCCAGTGAGAGAGCTGGGAATGTTCTTCTCACAGCGACGGCTGCAGTGCAGAGGTCAAACCCAAACACACAAGCCCATTTCAAGACTCCTGCATCACATCTGATGACCTACCATTGGCCAAAGCAACCACATGACCATGCCCAAGGTCAACGGGCAGGACATTCGCTCCATCCACCGTGAGAACGAAGCAAATTCCATTGCCATGGCCAACGTCAAAGGAGCCAGGGAATATTCTCACCCAATGGAAAGGAGGGGATGTGAATATTTCAAACAATAACATAATCCAGCACAACCCAAGGTCATCCCGAGAACCAGAAACGTGGTGAATCACTAAGACAGCTGAACCAGGTGTCTAAGCGAATTCTCCTTCCGCCCTGGGCAACTATCTAGAAATAAAGAACATTATGCAGACTCCCAACAACAGACCAGAGGATCGCAAGAATCAAGTCAAAGATTTGAAATACGAAGAAACAAAAAACACCCAACCGGAAAAGCAAAAGGAAAAAAGAATCCAAAAATACGAAGATAGTGTAAGGAGCCTCTGGGACAGCTTCAAGCGTACCAACATCCGAATTATAGGGGAGCCAGAAGAAGAGAGAGAGCAAGATATTGAAAACCTATTTGAAGAAATAATGACAGAAAACTTCCCCCACCTGGTGAAGATCTTCAAGAAGACTGGTGAGACCGCCGATAAATGTAGTGAGATCCACATTCCACCCTCCTTTGGTTCTTTCCCGTTTTTCTATTGAACTTCCTATGAGCTCAACCCACTTGCCTTGTTTGCATGGTTTTTTTAGAAAGAGGAAGGGAGAGGGGTAGAGAGAAACATCAACATGAGAGAGAATCATTAATCAGCTGCCTCCTGCACACCCCTTACTGGGGATCAAGCCCGCAACCCAGGCATGTGCCCTGACCAGGAATCAAACTGGTGACCTCTTGGTTCATGGATCAATGCTCAACCACTGAGCCACACCAGCTGGGCTGCACTGGTTTTTGATTTGAGGCTTTTCTTTGCTGTGAATCACAGCTGCACTATTGGTATATCCAGAGAGCCTGACCTTCTGATCACCTGGATGTCTACCGGCTGGCTGTCTCTTCACCAGTCAGAGGCCAGCCAGGAACTTCGGCACATGAAAGCCGAGGAGTCAGTGAGTCAGAGAGCCAGTGGGGATTCCCCCAAGAAAGGAGTGAGGCCAGGTGAAACACAACAGGTATGATCCGCAGGCCGGCCACCTCTCAGAATGATCTACCTGGCTGAATGCTGGATCGAATCCCACATTGTCCCAATTCCTTCCGCTAAAATGAAAGACAAAGATCAGCCTTGAAAACCCCCTGAGCAGATAAAACCAGTTTTATCATACAAACAAAGCTTTGCTTAGATGAGTCTGCAAGGCTGACTTGACCTGAGTCATTTCTTGCTTATCCTTCTGGAAATTATAAGCAAAACGTGAACTGTTTCCTAAGGTTGATACGTCATAACTACTGACCGATTCCCTATCATTTTTAAAAAATGTAATATTCTAACCCATCTCTGCGAAGCACAGGCATGGACATGGCAGCACAAACTGAGCGGCCTTCCCACTGTCTAAGCTGTTTTATAACAATGTACCCCGAGCCTCGTTTCACGTTGATTTGAGGGCTCCCTTTTGCAGCTGCCTCTCTGGTGTTTGACAATAACCTTTTAGTCATTACTGCCTGCGATTAGTTAGTCATTGCTGATTACTAAAGTGAGGCATCAACTTTTCTTTGGTTACTTCTGAACTCTCCACATTTCCCACATCTTCCTCCCCTTCACTGAAAACCAGTGGGTCAGTAGCCCCAGTGTGTAGTGAATTTAGGGTGTCTTCTGTAGTATGGCGCAACCAGGACCTCTGGTGCCAGCGATGGAATAGGCTGGGGCGGGGAGGTCGGCAAGGCTCCTGTGACGAGGGGGACATGGAGCGGCCACTCTCTAGGCCGGCTCTGCATCAGCCGCGCTGATGTCTATGGTGCACATGGATTCGAAGCGGGCCGGTGGGTCCACGGGAGTGGCCTGAACTGGACATCACAGGATGTGTTACAGCAACTGCCCCGGGAACCGCCCTCTGGCCTCTTAGTAATTCTCATGATAACACGGGACATGCCTGGGTAATGTGTATTTTCAAAACCTTGATTTAGCGCTTACATGGGCTTAGCTTTGGGACGACATGTGCAATGTCTTCACAGTACTGCTGAAAGGAGAGCAAAAATACTCATTTGACTCATAGATTGAGTACAAATGATCACACACTGGAGCCAGCTGTGAAGACGGCGAGCTAGTGTGCTGAGAGAAGCTGAGTGGGAAGGCCCAGCTTAACTGTGCTCCTAGAGCAAGAGGGATTGACTGGCCTCAGCGGCTAACACAGGTGATGTCTTGTCTTTACCGTGTACTGTATGACCTGTGAGCCTCATGGCCCATCATTAATCTGCTTCCAACAGGACAGGTGGTCACTGGAACCCTCGTGAACGGAGTCCGCTGCTTGCAGCCTAATGTGAGGGCGAGAGGAGGCGGCAGAAACCCAGATACTGTATCTGATCGAGCTCCGGGGGCCAGAGAGGCGGCGCTAAAACCAACACAACCTCGAGTTTCACCAGAACGCTCCTATCAAAACAAACTGGACGCTACGGAGAAAGCAATGTTAGCAACCTCATGTTCTTCAAGGGCTGCGCCCAAGATTCATATCTGCCCCAAATTCTTCTCTAAGACCCCTTTCATAATAACCCTCCTGTTATTCTGCATTCACTTTCGTCTGTGCAGCACAGCATGGTCACCTATTTTATATGCTGTCCCCTAATTATTCAGGGGTGCTCCAAACACATGTGTGTGTCTTCAACTGCACATCAGACCTTCCTGAGGACAAGTAATGAGCTTTTAATCCTCCAATTTCTCTTAGAGCAGTGATACAGCGGTACCCAAAAGCCTTAGCTGGAGGAAGTAAAGAAGAAAGAAGGAAGGAAGGGAGAGATGGAGGGAGGGAGGAAGCAGGAGGGGGTAAGGCAGGGCAGCCAGCATATGTACTTCTGAAGGCCGAAGTATTATGTTTTTGTTCAAGCTCTGGTTCAAACACACAGCACTTCCGAGACTAAAGGCAAAGACACATCTTTAGACTAAACTGAACGTCCAGCAAAGATTTATAGTTTGTTCAATGACGACGAATGAATGATTCACTGCAATGGCGCCTGTACAGTAGGCCGAGCATAGCAGTTCAAGTAGCCTGGCGCATCTATGGGCGTGTGGACTAAATGACCAGTGAACCTCAACACAATGCTACAGAACTTCACCGACATGTCTGCTGTAACGCACCTCCTGATTCGCGCCAGGGTTTTCTTTCTTATCGCCAAACTAAACATGACTGAGAGGTTTGGTAGCACGCGCCTCAGTGACGAGCTCCCCACTTTCACCATAGCTGTCTGAGTGACAGGCACCAGTACCTCCGAGAAGCTGGGCGAGAGGTACTTCCCGTTGCACTTGGCAATGCTCCGCAGAATCTTTAGGGCCTCGTCTCCTTTCTTCCGAGTCACCAGCCAGCGGGGAGACTCGGGAACCGCCCTGGAAGGAGAAAGCATTTCTGAGTTACGAGTGGGAATTTCAAAACCTAGATTTTATGACTCGAGTTTCTCTATCAAAATGGGTCTTCCCATTCGATGCAAATGTAGGAGAATCTTCGAGTTTAGGAGATTCGCAAACACACAGGTGATCTCTGCAGGTTTACTGTGGAAGGAAGAGACGCCCAGTCGATAGCAGGACCGTTGTCCTTGACAAACACAGTGATGTATTACATCGCTCTCGCAAGGCCAGGCGCCCCTGGAACCCAGTGTCCCCTGTTACGCATGGAAAGAGCTGGGATTTAGTGAGCATTCGGGACACGGCTAAAAACTCAAATTATGGAAACAGATGTGACCATGGGCCAAAGTGAGAGGAATGATTAAAACAGGTTCACTCCACTCAGAGTCAAATGCATAGACCTGCAGCTTTCTGGTGACGTTTCTCATGCTCTTAACATTTCCTTATTCCTCAGAGAGTTTCTGAGCAACATTAATTTGCTTCATAGAATATACAGGGAAGCAAATCAATTTCATTGCATTTATTTTGTGTTGAAATCCTTACTGGCAGATATGTGTTTGTTTGTTTGTTTGTTTTTGCCTTGTAGTTTTCATGAAGATATTACAAAATTAAATATAATTTGTGTTTTGCTATTTCATTAATTTACTTTAGTAACAACTATTAGTCAAGTAATCAATGAATAATCTCTATAGATTTTCAAGTTCTCTAGAAATTCTCAACGCCCGTCGCCGTTCTGGAGATGTTAGGCACAATCCCCGAATGGTTTCCACGTTCACGTTGCCCTAGAACAGTGATGGCGAACCTTTTGAGCTCGGCGTGTCAGCATTTTGAAAAACCCTAACTTAACTCTGGTGCCGTGTCACATATAGAAATTTTTTGATATTTGCAACCACAGTAAAACAAAGACATATTTTTGATATTTATTTTATATATTTAAATGCCATTTAACAAAGAAAAATCAACCCAAAAAAATGAGTTCGCGTGTCACCTCTGACACGCGTGTCATAGGTGCGCCATCACTGCCCAGAAGCGTAGCGTCCATGGCCATGGATCAAGCGTAGACTCAGTGATGAGGAAAGCCCCGTTACCAGTAGTAGAGGAGGAAGAGGAAGTTGGGCAGCGTGATGGCCAGCTGGATGCCCTGCCAGTTGGGGATGAAGTAGGCAATTCCCGGGAGGAGGATGATTCCCAGAGTGAAGAACATCTGAATCACGATTCCCACAATCCTCCTTTGCTTCGAACCCACGATTTCTGTCACTGAAGGGAAACAAACACAGAGGTCTGGGAACCTCAAGATCGGCTCCAAAGCAAATAAACAGAGGCTGCACCTGCTGCATCGTCCGCATTGCTTGCGGGCCACAGAGCTCGCCCAGCCCAGCCTCCCCAGCTGGTGTGAGGGAGCTGTGCTTCCCAGACAGCCAGACAGGGGGCTACGCTCTCCACCCCCCCCCCCCCCCCGTCACCCGCTACCCACAGCGTCCCTGCCCCTCTCGCACCCGGCCCGCACTCTTCTGGGAACACACAGAGGATAAGTGTTGGTTTTAGGGAAGTTTCCATGATGACTATTTTGGGAAGTCATTGCAATTAGGAAAACATCAACATAATAAACATAATAAACTGGCCAGATTTCATCACTGCTCTCTAAAAATATGCATGTCATAGTCTCTTTAGGAGACCCGTTAGGAATATTAGACTCTACACGTTTGTTCACTATCACAAGGTAGTTTCTCTCAAATGCTAATTCTCTCCACCGTGCTGGACATTTCACGTGGTGATATTTCTTTAAAAATCACTGGGGATGGGGAGTGGTGGGTCCTGGCCAGTTTGCTCAGTGGTGAGAGCGTCGGCCCACAGACTGAAGGGTCACAGTTCAATTCGGGTCAAGGGCACATGTACCTCGGTTGCAGGTTTTATCCCCAGCCCCAGTCGGGGCACATGAGGGATGCAATCAATCGGTATGTCTCTTCCCTCTCACATCAATGTTTCCCTCTGTGTCTCTCTCCTTCCCTTCCACTCTCTCGAAAAATCAATGAAGAAAATATCCTTGGGTGAAGATGGACACACACAAAAAAACCACTGGGGATTTTTGTGGTTGGCATCCTTCCCCCCCGCCTCCCCACCCCTGTCCCCTTCCCAATCGATCTCTATCTGTGGCCAAGTCTATTCTGATCATCCCAGGCTACACTTCCTTCTTGCCCTAACACCACAACTTTGAACATTCACTAGACTTGGGTTTCCTTAAAAACGCTTCATATTTCAAAGTTATCCCTTCCACCCCAGGCAGCAACAGTCAACCCTCCGAACACTCTCTCCTTTCTCGTCCATTGAAAGACCTTCAGGGGCCTCCAAAGGGGCGCTGCTTGGGGATGAACTGCCTAGCATAGCAGGAGGGAGCGGGATCATCAGATCTTCCTGGTCACACACCCACCGTGACCCGCAGAGAAGGGCACCCATCCAGACACCACCGGAAACAGCCAAAGGCAGCGGCCAGGACTTTCCCAGTAACATGAGCAAAGAGCGAGGGAAGGCGCCCTCTCTCTCAATCCCAGAGGGTCACACTCTCTAGTTCGGGAAGGTAGCAAAGGTCCCCTAACTAGAAGGCTCCTCGCGTTCAGGCCACACTCCGGGGCGTGCCGCCATGCTCTCCACTTACGCGGAAGGAACAGAACACGGGAGTGTCATCTTGAACTCTACCACAGAGATACACAGAGCATTCTTCAGAAATGTTTCAAGGGAACGACTGAAATTTTAATAAAAATTAATCTCTAATAAAGCAAAGCAAAAAAAATCCTGTGATAACAGTATGGGGATGAAGTAGGCAATTCCCGGGAGAATTATGATTCAGAAAGTGGTCACCCCATTATTGTGTGACATTCCATATTTGGTCCCCAAAGTCAGGTGGCATTGCAGTTCCTAGAGAGGCAGCGTCTCGCCCTGCAGCCTGCTGTTTGCGGGAACAATGGCCTGCGGCACAGGGCCACCAGGAAGGCCGACTAGTCCCGCAGGGCTCGCCAACCAGCCCTCTTCCCAGGCAGGCGGGGCGCGGCATGACTTACCGATCACATAGCAGGTCATCCATGTCCCCTTTGCAAACACGCCTTGTAGGAAGCGGAAGACCACAAACACAGGGAAGTTTGGTGCGAACGCCACCACCACGCCGGTGACGCCAACACCGAAACAGGATATCAGGTAAACGACGATTCGGCCGTACCTGTTTGCGGAGAGAGAGAGGACGGGATCACCTTAGACCTCTGCTCCGCGATGGAGGGCGGCCAGGGTATGTGCCGCTGAAAGAGGCGGGGTAAGTTTCCTCAGTGTGCCAAGACTCAGTTTGCTGGCTTCTGTGTTTTTGTTAGCTTGTTTTACTTTTCTACAGTGAAAGTTCTTTATAAAGTTCAAACCAATGTGAGTTGACTTTCGTATTTTATTTTCACCATTTACACAATATGATTATGTAGTTTAGGAAAAGGGAACAGGGTATTGTGTATGCAAAAACCTGCCAGTCTGATGCTGAATGGTTCCGTGGAGTTGTGCTGAATTATCGGCTGGGAAAATTTGTCGCCGGTGACCTTTAAGAGATTTGACCTGATAACATTTTCCCTGGCACTTCCCACCAAGTTCACAGGTAGAGCATCTTGCTTTAGTCAGCGGAGCAGAGAGAGAGGTAGCCTCATTTTTAAATTCAGTCTCCGCCCCTCCTGCAGTGGTGTGGCCTATTATCTTGTTTCCTATCCTTTCCTTCAAGGCTACAAAGAGGAGGAGGAGCTGAAAGCTGGTTGGCCGTGTGGTGAGGCAGAAGTATTCATGGGTCTGTTGTCTCCCCAGGACCAAAACGCATGTCTCCTCCTAACACCGCGGGCCCACTATAACACCGACCATCCCCAGTTCCTTCAGTGTGAAAACATGTTTATGGGTGGTGCCAGAAAAACACGCAGAAGAAGCAAAAGCCAATGTTTAGCTTCAGAAGAGCAGCAACACAATTAAAGCAATGCATACGAAAAAGATGTCACTCAATCCCAAATCGCAGGCAGCCAGGAGAGAAAGCGCTACCTGGGGAGATTGAAAAGGGAAAGATGGATTGAAAGGGCTAGAAGTAGAAACAGTAGAAAAAGACACGTAAAGCCCGGGAAAGAGCCCCAGACACAGAGGACCAAGGAGAGAGTCGCGGGCAGAAGCGGGTCATGGGGGACAGCAACAGGAGCCTCAGAGCGGACGAAGGGCAAGGACAAGACCAAAGCGCTACCGTTCTGCAGTCCTGGGCTGCTCACACTCAGGTCGACACTGGCGACAGGCTGTGGGGTGCTCTGTTGTCTTGAGTCAGCGCATTCGTTGCTGTGGGCAGGTCTCTGGGGGTACCCTTAGCACCGCCCACTGCGAACATGGTCACAAGGTCCCACCCAGGCCGGGCTGGAGTGCCCGGAGCAATGGAAAGCCATATAAGTCAAGGGCCAAAGCTCCCTATCCCTGTGCTGACGGGTCTAGAGAGTGAGATTAAATTGCTACAAGCATTTCCGTAGTCAGAACTGGAATAAAGGAATAGCCAGACATGAACACAACAGCCAACACCCACAGTGTGGCACACGGAAGTATCTGAAGGGAAAGCGTGACCATCGTAGACACGTGCACGCACTGCGCCTGCCGCTACCTGGGCCACTCGCGGATGCTAAACGGCAGATACAACTCCCTGAGGAGTTCTGAAAACCTCTCTGCAGAGCGTGGAATCTGTAACTAAAATGCAGGTCTTCTTTTTAATTAAATGAAACAAACCTGGAGGGGCTGACCTACGACTAAATGAATCCAGCGCCAGGGAGCTGGGGAAGCCAGACTCGGCTCCGCGGTGGCAGCAGCGCCCGCCAGCCCGCGTGCAGCCGCTGCCTCGCTGGGCCGGGCCCACCGGACGCTCCCGCCCACGGAGCAGCCCCCCACCGGGCAGCTCGAGGAGAAAGGACACGCGGCTTAAGAAGAAAAGACTGTCGTGAGGAGAGGAATGAACATGGTCTCTGCACTTAGGAAGAATGCTTTTCTAACAGCTGACATTTCATCCCACCCCCCCCCCGGGACACAGTGACGTGAAGTGGCTGTCGCCCTGCGGCCTACCTGTCCGCTGCGTAGCCCAAGGTGAAGGCTCCGGCCAGGAAGCCCAGGTTCAGGATGGCTTGTGTGAGGTCCAGCATCCAAGCATTGGCACACACCAGGTCAAACTGGAGAACAAGGAAACACACAGAAGGCGGTGGCTACGCTTAGCCTCAAAACCCGACCTCATCTTGCCATAGGCCCGTGATCTTCAAATATGTGTGCTCATATGCCCCTTAAATAAAATTTAAACATTGATCACATGCAACTTTTACATTGATTTATAAATACTTTCTGTCAGTCGCAACAACTGCCAAGGGTGTAATTTCTTTTTAAATATATATTTTTTGTTGATAGTATTACAGATATCTCCCATCCTCCCCTTTACCCCCTCCTCCCAATTCCTACTCCCCCCTCCCCAGGTCAGGGATGAGGGGCCACAGGCTCTGGAACGCGGTGGCCGGTGGAGCCGCTGTGAGAGCTGCCCTTCCTGTCTTCCCCTCCTTGCTCTCTAGCCCTTCCAAACGGCTGCAGCGCAAACCCTTCTGTTAAATCCCCTCCTGCTCAGACACCTAGCCTGGCTTCTGGTTTCGTGGCTGGGAGCCAGCCATCTCTTCAGAGTACGACACTAACTTACGTACCGGTGAGGAAAAGCACACACGTGCGCACGCACACACGCACACACTCACACACGTGTCCAGAGGGAGCCAGCCCTGCAGTCACAGGACTCAGGCGTGTGTGTGACTCTCGCTGGGCCGGTGCCTCCTACCCGCTCTGGGCTCACTGCCTGCTGCTGCCACAGCTCCGGGTCGGCAGCGTCTTTCCTGCTCACGGAGGGGCCAGCAGACCCCGAAGCCAACGAGCACCCTCGGCTCAGGCCCTTTTCCTGAAACGAAGCGCTAGGAACGTGTAGTTCCCAGGGAGACCGAGAACACCTCTTGTCAGATGTACCCACGTCTGAGTCAAAGCCACAAATGCCGTGCTTTTCCCTGAGGCGATCCCTCTAGAACAAGCGAGGCATCTTTTTCCCAGGGTACACATGCCAGGATTTCAAGTTATTTTTAACTGTGCATAAACCCAGGCGCACCCATGCTGGTCTTCATTACCCCCCGGTCGTCTGTACACACAGCCAACCACTCCCCGTGGCATGAGCAGAAAGCCAATCCGATCAAACCCTCCGACGACAGTGTCTGTCACGCTGGAGGGATCACATGGCTCGTCGTGCAGAAAGCACAGCTCTAGCCAATCAGACACTTTGGAGGGGTTTGCAACCAAGGGCTTTCCTTAGCGCTTCCTGGCTGTTAGAATCCAAACGGGCGGAACGTGAATTTGAGTCGTAACGATAAATGCCAGGGCCACGTCCTCTTAGACATGCCTTACAGTTTTGGTTCCACACGAGCCTTTACACTGGGGCAGCGGAATGTCTTCCCTATGCACAGATCAAGGGAATCAATAAGGTGGGAAAGTGCAGGTATTCGAAAGACTTGGACACTCAGGAGGGGGCTTGTCTGCTCCTGAAACCCGGGGAAAGGGCCCTGAGGCCTGGCAGCTGCCTTTGCACCGTCGTCTGGTTTCGCCTTTTGAATGAATGCACGTCAGAGCTTCTGAGCTTAGAACATCACCGTGTTGCTCCGCCGCGGCCGGGAGAAGTCCCGCTCAGCGCTATTTGTACTGTGGAGGGAGAAGGGAAGACTCCGACACGATCTATGTGCCTGAGTTGTGATTTTCTAAGAATGAGTTGTAAACGCAACCATTTCTAATCAGCTCTTAGGTCAAAATCAGCAGCCATTACACTCTCCATCAGTGTTAACAGCATCCCTTACACCTTCAGCTTGACCCTGGGGTGCGGGGTGCCCCGGCTACATTGGTCACTGGCCAAAACAATGTCCTGTTGGCCTCCACGGGCAGGTTCAAATCGACAAGAAGACACCATAACGGAGCCTAATAATGGTTAAAAACGATTATAATCCTAGAGAAAATGATCTGGGCTGGGTCTCCATGAGAGGAAAGGGTGTCATTACGGGTTCCAGGCATAATAAAAGCATCTTTACCGTGATCTGAGGGGATGATTTGGGCGACTTAATACCAACAATGAGTGCTTTGAGGGTAGGCAAGAAGCATCTGATGAGCTGCAGGCACAGAAGCGCATCTTCAGGTATTTCCAGGGGCTCCCACTGGCGTGGTTGGCATGGCGATGCAGACAAGACTGGGAATGCCAGTGAGTGCGTGCCTGGTTTCCACCTCCCTAAGGAGCTGATCCATGGTCAAGTGAGTCGAGGTCAAAGCGAGGGAAGAGCCATCGAGATCTAAAGTGAATGGGATTGGCTGCAAATACAAGAGGGCTTCAGAGGAAGAAATGGCTTGGGTGCCCAGCCAGTCAGACGCACGAGGAAGGTGGGGCATAAACAGACCCTTCCACAATAAGCTGGGTTTAGAGGGAAAATTAGAGGGAAAAGAAGGGTATTTGAGGGGGTAACGGCAGCCCAGACACACAGACAGGAGCATGAATGCCACCGAGGTGCAGATCTGCCTGCAACGCGTGGGGTGCCCAGCTCAGAGTTTAAGCTGAGGAACCACCTGTCTCCCCACCACCCAATGGGGAAGGGAGTGAGGCCCAGGGGGCGGGACAGGAAGTTTCTCACTCAGGAAACCAGAGGTATCATAAAAGCTCGGGCTAGAGGGAGGAGGAGTTTCTAAAGAAGGGAAGAAAAATCTGGAAGGTTGAGTGTGGAAAGGCCCAGAGCAGATGGCCTGGCTCCAGGACAGAACAAGATTCCAGGGAGATGAGAGAGACAGAGAGGAAGCCCGAGTCTGCAGATCGCCTAGAACAGGGTGACCTCACCGGCATAAAGAGGCCCCTGAGTGATAAAGGGCTCACAGAGCCCCCGTCATCCAGCTGCCCTCCCGGATCGATAATAGCGGAACTTTACCGTATGGTCAAGCAAGTAAATTTCAAAAGGTGATGGAGAGGTGTCCTCTAACTAGATGCCTTTTGGTCTGAGCTTGTGAAGTTGGGAGAAATGGAAAAACTCAGTCGACTTTAGTAATCACACCTTGTCATTTACTAACTTAGGCTCTTGAGGACGTTCAGGCCACTTTGCTTCTTTGTAGAGAAGATGTGCAGTTACTCTTCTTAAAATGTTTACGCTTTCTCTCACTAACCGAGGGTGTCTAAAGACGAGGGGCCTCTGGGAGTAGAGAAAGACGCGGCTGGAGTGGCAGGTGGCAGGTGGCAGAGGAGAGCCGAGGTCCCTCCTGCTGCAAGCACCCGCACGTCCCCCGCACCTCTAAGGTGAGAGCCTGTTTCTTTTTGTTGCCCCTCTCCAAATACACCATTCTCCCAGGTGCCTGCCCTCCCCACCCCCCTGCTGCCCTGGCTTGGGATTCAGCTTTCTCTGCTGAGTAACTGAAAGTCAGCTCTTGGTCTATATTCATTGATGTGGAAAGAAACCACATTTTGGTTGATTTAAAAATCAGGTTATAAAATGAGGCAGATGATTCCATAGATGCAAACAAATCTGCATTTCAGCACAGGCGTGTGAATATCAGGGAAAAGGGCTCCTGGTAAGACAACTGAAACGCTGCGAGTGGCTGGATGGCAGGTGATTTTGTTTTCATCCCTTTTTTGTGTCTTCTTCGCATGGAAGTGTGTATTATTTTTATGTATCTTAGAACAATGTACAACTACACCCACTTTGGAAAAACAAAGAAATTCTATACTGAATATTAGAAAGGTGGGGAAGAGTTCCACGGAGGGAATTAAGGTGAGGAGAAGGAAGGAAGGGGTCTTCAGGGCTCCATACACTATCCATCAAAAGGTGGAATGGGGTGGATAGAGTGGGCGCTTTTGCTGACAATTATGTTTGAAACAAATTTGTGCATGGGTGGGGTCACTCGGCCTGGCCAGTGATCAAGGCCAATGGGGGCCGGCTGGTGGGGGCCGAGGGAGGTTGGCCGGCCACAGGAGGTTGGCTGTGGGAGTGCACTGACCACCAGGGGGCAGCTCCTCGTAGAGTGTCTGCTCCCTGGTGGTCAGTGTGGCATCATAGTGACTGGCCAACCGGTTGTTTGGTCATTCGGTCACTTAGGCTTTTATATATATAGATAATTGGTAGTGGGGAATCAGAAATGAGTGAGGGTGGGGGTGGAGTTTATCTTCTTAGAAGTCTTTCAATGGTACTTAGTTTCACACGAACTTCAGGAAGTAAGTAAAAATGTAAAAAAACACAAATCTGTGGAATCTAATGAACAAAATAAATTGAAGAACAAAATAGATCCAGAGACATAGAAGCATGGAACAGTCTGTCCAACCTCAGAGGGATGGCAGGGAAGGGAGGGTGGATGGAAATAGATCAACCACAGAACTTGTGTGCATATATGCATAACCCATGGACACAGACAACAGGGTGAATAGGCCTGGGGTGAGGGGCAGGGGCAGGCTAGAGGAGGTCAATGGGGGAAAAGAGGGACATATGTAATATTTTCAACAATAAAGATTTTAAAAAATAAAAACCCAAATCAAGAACTTTGCTCTAGATAGAGTTAAACCCTTCACACTCATTCCTGGCAGATTGCAGCTCTGAGGTGTTGCCATCCCTCCCTGACCACAAGCGGCTACACAGGCAGAACTGGGATTCTGCATGCTGGCCCCCTAAGGTGGTCCTTCAGGTGTCCCGGGTGCTGTTTGTCTACACCTTTTTTCTTTCTCAGGACTGGGTCATTTCTATGGGTCTACCTTCAAGTTCACTTACTCTTCCTCCTGTCATTTCCAATCTGCTATTGAACCCATTTAGTAAATTTGTCATCTCAGTTTATTATAGTTTTCAGTTTTAGAATTTCCATTTTTAAGTTTCTATTTCTCTGTTGAGATTCTCTATTATTCATTAAGACCATTTTTTCCTTTAATTCTTTGAACATAGTTTACTTGGTTGAATGCATTTATAGCTGTTTTAAAGTCGTTGGCTACTAAATCCAACACCTAAGACCATTAGAGTCAGCCCCTTTTGGCCACTTTTGCCACTCTGCTTCCCCCATCACCCCCACCCACACCTCCTCCCATGATCACATTTCCTGTTCTTTGTCTTATTGGCTTGAGCTGTCAAAGGGCGGGGCTTATCGCTGGCAGATA